CCTTGGTTCGAACGACGGCTCGAGACATTACAGGCTTCAGAGCAGGTTGGATCTCATGCGGAGAGAGGTAGGGAGAGTAAGAATCTCGTCCTGGGCGCTTAGGTCAGTATTTCATGTCAGGGGCCTCGTGGAAATAGTCCGTCCGTACCTGTCGTGGGAGCATCACCGGGACCCGCCGCAGCGTTAGGCCAGACCTGTTTGCCAGGCTGAGCACTGTTGTTTTGGTGTTGTTGATCTTGCTGATTAGATGCAGTTGGCTCGTACAGATCATCGTACTCGCCCTCGCTTAATTCGCCTTCCTCTGCCCTGTCGCTTGCATGTTGGCTCTTTAACCCGTTTCCAGGCTGCTCGCTACGCTTGTTCGAGGCTCCATTGGAGCGACCACCACGTGGCTGATAGTATTGGGAGGCAGGCACTAGGTTGGGCTCGTGTGACGGCTGCGCGTGGGTTGGCTGGTGTGTTTGTGGCCAGGCCGCAGGCACGTCACTCGTCGAAGCACCAAACGCAAGACCGGGGATGACGCTTCTGTTCTGCTCGTAGGAGGCTTGTGCAGATGCAATGTTAAAGCTGGCAAAGGCATTGCTGTTGGGCGGGGGCTGGCCTGAAGCTGGGTGGGGGTAGGTCGGTTGAGCTGGATATAACGGAGGTGCATAGGAAGACTGTCCCTGGTATGGGACACCTCCGTAATAAGAGTTGTAAGTCATGGTGAGCTGGTGTAGAGTCAGCTAGCATGCAGGATTGTGTTCGACGACGCACGACGTAGGGATCATGCGATGATGTCCAGCTACACGTAACTCGCCGCGTGCCGAAGAATGATCACGCGCTCAGAGCGTAAAAGGAAAGTCGCGATACGAAGGATCCACGCGTGAATATGGTGGTGGAGTGCACAAATCGTCAAGTGGATGCACGAGAGAGAGAGTTTCGATGACGCGTTCGGCGACCGAATGGTTCGCGTAAAGTATGCTGTGAAGACCCTCGACCGGCCCAATATCGCTGGTCGCTCTCGCTGGTTACAGAGGGTCGGTTCGATTCGAGGTTTCCAGATGCGCGCATCAAGGCGCATCAAACACGTCTGGTTCGTTCGAGACCAAGGCTGCTCTGGGCAAACAAGGCAAACTAGGTAGTAGCTAATGCGTTGCGGGTATAGCGTCGAGATGCAGCGAGCGTGGACGGGGCGAGGCAAGCGGATGTGTGAGGGTGAAAGAATTCGCGAGTGACGGGCATTTCAGAAATGAGAGGGTCTCGAAGGCTCAACCTTGGCACGCTAGTTCCTAAAGGTACCCTGCTGGCGCTTGTTCCCATGCAGTCACACGTTCTCGGGTTTACCACCACAGCATGTCCTTATTAGGACTAGCGTGCATTTACTCTGATGGCCAGAGCTTGCCATGCATGATGTCGACTGATGGGTGATCGAGGCTCACATGAAGAGACGGGCGTTATACGACGCCGGGGTTCCGCTATTTACCAAGAGAGCCATGAGGCAACTCGTCGTGCAGTTGAGCACAAGCTCGAACAACAGAACTGGGACGAGACTACCCCTTTCTGAGCCGGTTCTCGCTTTGTCGCTTTGGGGCAAAGATGCATGATCAACTGTGCTTTGTTCAAAGGCATTTCTAGTGGTTTCTAACAGTGGAAACCCACGAAAGGAATGGAATACCTTCCATTGAGCACCTTGAGCATACTGTACTCACCTGAAAATCCAATCTACATCAAAGGCTATGACTGTGCCGCTTAATATATTATATCATATATTGCACCGAGTCTCGTCGATCAAGAGCGACTAGCTTGGCATTTTGACCACATCACGACAGGCGCTCGATAGCCTGTATGCCACTATGCGTGCTTCCAAGGAAGCTTGGGAAGCGACAGCTACTGCCTAAGGAAATACTCTTTCGATCGTCTCAATCTAGATTACGAAAGTGATCGCTTTGCTTACGGTTCCCTAGAGTATGGCGGAATACCAAGCAAACACGGTATTTTTCAGTATCTGGTCCTTCTGGTGCTCCTTGAGCTGCTCGGCTCTTCTCGCGAAGTACGATGTTACGCACAAGAGCCGCGCCACACGGCCCTAGACAATGCGATACTTGAACAGCTCGATATATCTGTTCTTAAGACCCTGTAGCGTGTCTTGTGATTGATGATAATTGATTGTCTCATCCTCTCTATCGCTCCCGACATTCCAGTTCAATAATTTGGGTTGGGTATTTCCAGGCCTCTAGTGATGAAATGGCAAGCAAGGCCTTCCATGGGGTGAGCTGCTGGAGCTCACTTTACCTTTGCTAGCTTTCCCACTGTTGATACTTTTACGGCCTCACAATAGACCCCGAGTCCTCAAGAGTACATTTCATATGTACTCGGCAATGAATACCTGGCGTACGAATTCTCCGAACCTGTCCACATGCATCGTACAAGAATATTCGTGAGAAAGTCGCGTAATTGTTTGTGAATAGGCGGCCTTCCCAAGATGCTGTTCCGAGAGGTTTTCTATTCATATTGTGGTCATGGCTGTTTGTGAGTTGCGCCATGTTATCGTTTGTGGTAATCCTGATCAACTATAAATTGCGAGAATCCGCACGATCTCGCATTCCAAAAATCCCTCGATAGCTTAGAAATCCCGCTGAAGACACCCCGAATGGCTGAATGCGAGATTCGTGCTGGCAATGGTTGTGTTGCTTTCGATCGGTCCATCCACCAAAGCAACCCCGGGATTATTTAGTTGCTGACATCCACAGCAAGCATTACATAAGCACACCACTGGGTCCTTTGGAACGAGCAGCGACTGACCCGTTTGGTTCGGGGGCCTGTCTTGGCGGAGCGCCTACGTCACGTGTAGGTCGCTCCTGGGTTTGTTTACTTTGGGGATGTGGGTGGTCCAGAGCAACCAATCCCTGACGATCGACGTCAACACGACTTGGGCGTGAGATGCCTACCTTGCTTGTCCTCCTTTCCAATTCCAAAATTTACATCACCGCCACGCGCACGCGATTGACACTGTCTTTCTCATTCCTCGACTTTTATTGCTGCCTAGGATTGTACACTCTTCTTTCTACTTCATCTTCCCTGACTTGCTTGAGCCGAGTCAGAGCCTCGTGCCTCGATCCCCAACGAACCCGCCGCGCACCTCGAAGCCTCTATGTATTCCCTGCAGGTATAGGCAGCCGGATCGGAAGTCGGACCACAGCAGTAACAGCGAGGTTTCCCAGCTGTTAGGTGGCTTTGAGCAGCAGGATCTCTCACACTACCCGCCCAACCACACACCATGTCGATACGTAACAACCCTTTTGCAAGAATGGCCTCGGCCTCAGCCTCACCTTCCCCAGGACCAGGCGACAGTCGGCCAAAGTCCACGCTTTTCTCTTCACCTTCGCCGCTTTCCAATGTCTCAACACCGACGGGCCATGCGCGCACACAATCACATACATCCTTCAACCCCCCCTTGGCACCAGCGGGCGGGTCGCATCGGCATTCACGGAGTGACTCGCGGAACGGCACGCATCTGTCCAACACCTTTGCGCCGTCGTTCATCAAGACGGAAGAAATGCAGCGCGGTACCGGGGCCGACGCAGTAAAAGGCATTGAGGGCGAGAATGACTTCTCTGGCAAACGCTATGTATGGCTTAAGGACCCGCAGACAGCATTCGTCAAAGGTTGGGTTGTAGAAGAACTGGGCAAGAACACACTTTTGGTCCAATGTGACGATGGGACAGTGAGTGAACCGAGTGCTCACAACCGCGGAGATGCTAATGCACGTCGCAGCAACGCGAGGTCGACGCCGACAGCGTCGACAAGGTCAACCCTGCCAAGTTCGACAAGGCAAACGATATGGCTGAATTAACACACCTGAATGAAGCATCGGTCGTTCACAACCTTCAAATGCGATACCAAGCCGACCTGATATACACATACTCTGGCCTCTTCCTCGTCACCGTCAATCCCTACTGTCCACTACCAATCTATACCAACGAGTACATCAGTATGTACAAAGGCAGGAGCCGCGAGGATACGAAACCCCACATCTATGCCATGGCCGACCAGGCTTTCCGGAACCTTGTAGACGAAGGCGAAAATCAAAGCATCCTGGTGACGGGAGAGTCAGGCGCTGGAAAAACCGAAAACACCAAAAAGGTCATCCAGTATCTCGCCGCCGTTGCGCACTCAGAGTCTCCGGTCAAGGCTCGATCTCAGCAGTCCAACCTCTCTCAGCAGATCCTTCGGGCGAACCCAATCCTCGAAGCCTTCGGCAACGCGCAAACAGTCCGAAACAACAATTCTTCTCGTTTTGGCAAATTCATCAGAATTGAGTTCAATCGCAATGGCTCGATCGCTGGCGCGTTCATTGACTGGTATCTCCTCGAGAAGTCACGAGTTGTCGGAATCAACTCACATGAGCGCAACTATCATATTTTCTACCAGCTCTTAAAAGGCTCCGATCGAGCCATGAAGCAAGATTTTCTTCTGGACGGGCTGGACGTTGAGGATTTTGCGTATACTCGGAATGGCCACGATACAATCACCGGAGTCTCGGACCGTGCCGAGTGGGAGTCGCTCATAGAGGCATTCGACGTTATGAACTTTTCCGACAAAGATCAGTCCGCTATTCTTCGTACTATTGCTGCTATCCTGCACCTCGGAAACATCTCGGTTGTCAAGGAAAGCCGTGCCGCTGATCAAGCAAGGCTGGCCCCCGATGCCAAGGAGCAAGCCGCGAAGGTCTGCAAGTTGCTCGGAGTTCCCCTGGAACCATTCCTCAAGGGCCTCCTTCACCCCAGAGTCAAGGCTGGTCGGGAATGGGTTGAGAAGGTGCAAACACCCGATCAAGTTCGGCTTAGTCTTGATGCTCTCGCCAAAGGTATCTACGAACGCGGCTTTGGTGACTTGGTCACTCGCATCAACCAACAGCTCGACAGAACCGGCATGGGCCTCGACGACTCGCACTTTATCGGCGTGTTGGATATCGCTGGTTTCGAGATCTTTGACGACAACAGCTTCGAGCAACTGTGCATCAACTACACAAACGAGAAGCTGCAGCAATTCTTCAACCATCACATGTTCGTGCTCGAGCAAGAGGAGTACGCTCGCGAACAGATCGAGTGGCAGTTCATCGACTTCGGACGTGATCTACAGCCTACGATTGACCTCATTGAGGTTTCGAATCCCATCGGCATCTTCTCGTGCCTCGATGAAGACTGTGTCATGCCTAAAGCCACCGATAAATCCTTCACGGAGAAACTCAACTCGTTGTGGGACAAGAAGTCAAACAAGTACAGATCCTCCCGACTCGGCCAGGGCTTCGTGCTCACACATTACGCCGCCGAGGTTGAGTACTCAACACAGGGCTGGCTGGAGAAGAACAAGGATCCATTGAACGATAACATCACACGGCTGCTTTCAGAATCCACCGACAAGCACGTAGCCAACCTCTTCGCTGATTGCGCTGATACAGACAACGATGCCACTGGTGGTCGGAGCCGCGTCAAGAGAGGTCTGTTCCGCACCGTCGCCCAGCGACACAAGGAGCAGCTGCACAACCTGATGACCCAGCTCCATTCAACGCATCCCCATTTCGTTCGGTGTATTCTGCCTAACCACAAAAAGAAGCCGAAGCAGTTCAACGGGCCCTTGGTGCTGGACCAATTGCGATGCAATGGTGTTCTGGAGGGCATCCGCATCGCGCGAACTGGTTTCCCGAACCGCCTCCCCTTCG